CCGATCGAAGCGGTTAACGTTGCTTGGGTGGGGTGGAAAATTGGACTGGAAGTGTCAAGTCTTTTCTGTCCCCCTAGTGACATTTCTGAAGATGATCTTTCAAATTTAGATCACACCGATAAGGCAGTAGAAATTAGGTCGCTGTTACATTATGAGTTTACTTCAGGGCAATGTAACAAACCTTCGGTTCGTGGTCGTTTGCCTTTGTGCTACGATCGATGGGTGAAATTAGGTGCTTCAGAGTTTATATTAAGTGTTGTACGCGACGGTTATAAAATTCCGTTCGTGACTCTTCCGCCTCCTACAATTAGTCCCAACAATCTCTCTGCCGTTACCGATAGTCATCAGTTTTGTTTGTAAGGCTATTTCCGACCTGTTAAGAAATAAGTGTGTTGATATTCTGGAGCACAGGCCGGATATTGTTAATCCACTTTCTGTTTCCATTCAGCCTTCAGGCAAGAAGAGATTAATTCTTGATTCGAGGCATGTTAATCTGTATGTTTTTAAGCGTAAATTTAGATGCAAAGATGTATCGGTTGCCCTTCAAATTTTCTCTGAAGGGATTTTTCTTTTCAAGTTCGACCTAAAGTCCGGCTACCATCACGCTGAAATTTTTCCTGATCACCGTAACTACTTAGCTTTCTCCTGAGATTTTGGCGATGGTGTTGTGAAGTATTTTCAGTTCACAATTTTACCTTTCGGGTTGTCATCCGCACTGTATTTGTTCACCAAATTATTAAAGCCTATTCTTACTTCATGGAGGTGCAAAGAAATTCCCATGGCTATTTTTCTCGATGACTGCTCAGGGGTTGGTATCAATTCTATCAGGCCAAAAGCAACAGTTTGACAGTTCGCACTGATTTGACTAGGTACGGCTTTGTTATTAACGAAGAGAAGTCCCTTTGGGAGCCTGTTCAAGTTATTACCTGTCTCGGCACTATTTTTGATACTTATCAAGGTCTTATTTCGGTTACCGAGCGAAGGGTTTCAAAGCTAAAGAGTAGCATTGATCTCTTACGTAAGGATGACTGTAAAATTTTGAAAGTTAGAGATGTAGCATCTGTGGTAGGCCAAGTAAGGTCGCTCACTCCTTGTGTTGGAAGTGTAGCCAGAATCATGACATATGCTCTGTACACCATTGTAAATCAGAAACAGTCACGGAACTCTAAGGTTGAGTTGTCTAAAGAAGCTTTTGATGAATTGACGTTTTGGATAGACAACGTCGACTCTCTTAATTTTTGTTCCCCCTGGATACCTTTCCTACCGCTCGCTAGATTTGTCTATTCTGACGCATCAGATTATGCTTGTAGTTCTTTTATTGAAAACGAGCATAAGATCTTTCATTAAAAGTGGAATGCTACAGAGGGTTCTAAAACTTCTACTTGGAGGGAGCTTAGGACTGTAGACCTGGCACTTTCCGCCTTTGCGATCTTCAGGGTCAAAAAAATTGCTTGGTTTACTGACAACACTAATGTAGTTAGCATCGTTCATAGCGGTAGTAGGGTTGAGGAGCACAGTCTCGAGCGCTTTCTATTTTTCATGTTTGCACGAGTTCAGGCATTTTCCTTCAAATGAAATGGATCCCTAGGGATTCCAATCACCGGGCTGATTCTTTGAGTAAAGGGGTAAGTTTCGAAAGAAACCGTGGTGCTGCGTCGGTGGGAGAGTATAGCAGGTGATTTAGTGTTAACAACTGAGTTGAAAACGTAAATTAGCCACCGTAAAGGGTAAAAAAGCTGACGTTTCGAGCGTTAGCCCTTCGTCAGAGCTCTGACGAAGGGCTAACGCCAGCTAACGTCAGCTTTTTTACCCTTTACGGTGGCTAATTTACGTTTTCAACTCAGTCGTTAACACTAAATTACCTGATTCTTTGAGTAGAATAATTGATTTGACGATTACTCTGTTAATGATGACGTGTTTCAAATGTTGGATTGTAAATGGGGGCCCCACACAGTTGATAGGTTTGCCTGTAGTTACAACGCCAAGCTTTCGCGCTTTAATCCTAGATTTTTTGCCAACATGGCGCTGAAGCCGTGGACGCTTTCGCCCAGAACTGGAAGGGAGAAGATAATTGGGTCCATCCACCGGTATCGCAAATTAGTAGGGTTATTACTCATATGAGAGCGTATAAGGCTGTAGGAACTTTAGTTATTCCTATGTGGAAGTCTTCCTATTTTTGGATTTTACTATGTAACGATGGCAAGCAGTGGAACGCGTTGTACATGATTGGGTGATTCTTCCCTTCTTCTTTTCTTCCCTAGAAACGTGTGTTTGAACATGTTTTCCTACGCGCAAGTGACTCGAAAGCAAATTTAATTTGATTTGGTTTTATCAACTGAATTTATACAATATAACTTGGCCACCGTAAGGAGTTTCGAAAGCTAACATTTCAAATGATAGCCCTCTGGTGCTAACGCTCGAAACGTTATCTTTAGAAACTTTTTACAGTGGCCAATTGATGTTTTCATTCAGTTAATTAAACCAAACTATATTATGCCCCCCACCGACGCAGTACCAAAGTTTCTTAAGAAACTTGCCCCCGCTCCAAATTCAACCACCTCGAGTCATGCGCGGGATGATAACATGTATACCCCATTCTGTAAACTTGACTTCCACTCAAGGGTGTATCAGGGGTTTGGCGCATGCGCGTGTGTGTGTGTGCGTGCGTGTGGAGGAGGGGAACGGGGAGGGGTACGTCGGAAGGAGAATGGGCACCTCCCTTTGTAAACTTCACTTCCCTCAAGGGTACATGAAGGCTTGACGTACATGACGGTAGGAGAGAGGTAGGGAGAGAGGTAGGGAGAATTTTGAACCCCTCTTTCTAAAACTGACCTCCCCTCCTGATTGCATGATGGGGAAGAGAAGAAGAGGGGGGGAGGTAGGGCGTAAGGAGCGTGCGGAAAAATTTAGAGAAGAACTCCCCCTTCTGCCCTTTTCGATTAATTCACGATCTTTGTTTTATTATACATGGATAGCTTTTTAGACATGCTTAACTTAAGCTGGGTGTTTCATCTCTTCTTAAAGTGCCTACGAGAGGAAATTATTTTTGCGTATTTATTTAGATGTTATATATTCAAACCAATTCCGACGGAACAAAAATTTTTTTAACAAAAGAAAACTTGTTCGTTTTTTCGGACCCAAAAGTGCCCTTATTTTGTCCTAAAAGTGTCCCGTAGACTGGTAACTAGTTTTTAGGCGATGACATAGAAAACTGTGAAAATTTTCAGTTTTCACTTACGAATCTCTCACATTTCTTGTAATTTTGTATTAGTCAGCTCTGAAAAACTCTTGAAGTAATTTCCCATAGCGATGTATACCTACCTTCAGCAAGCTCTTACTCAAATAGTAAAGGGAAATGAAGGTTGCGAGTACGGTTCAGCCCTTTGAAGAAGAACCGCGAGCATGAAACGAAGATTTCGACAAAGACTCACAAAGGGACAAAACGGTTTCTCGCCTGCGGTGTTAAGGTCAAGATTAGAACAAAAACTCCCGTTACTACATCATCACAATGCTCACTATTCTTCGCCCACGAAAAGTCAGCCTAAAAGATTGTAGATTAATCTTGTCCGATGTGGGAATAGGCTCCTTAATCAGCATTCTTTCTAGCTGAATTCATTGGCAATTTGGCAATCCAAGTTCCCCTGATTTGACTAGTGGTGTGTGTTCGTAATAGCCGTCTTCGAAGTCAAGATGGAGCATAAGGCCAACGACTTTGAAGAGCAAAATCTCCTCTATGGCGACGATCGAAACGCGTCTATTTTGGCCATACAGCTACATCCTTTGGAAAGTAGTGTATAGAAATACCCGGTGTATGTCTATCATTCTCGTATTTAATATCATTTGGCTCTCCAGCCACACAATACGTTCGCCCTCTCTTCTTGATTTCTCCTCTCTCCACCAAAGTTTCTTCACATTTTTCTATGTCACAGCTATGTAACAAGATCGTTTTGGTCGCGCGCTTAATGGGGACACTTTTTTTGCCGCCAAATCGTATTTTCAATGCGCAAAAAATGGTCAAGGAGAAGACGCTGGGCGCTAAAGTCGATGATTTAAAATTTTAAATACAGCTATCAACCAGAAAACGTAAAAAAGTACTTTATATCTCTTCCATCAATTTTTCCTCCTTTCGCTTCATATTGTTTAATGGCTGGTAAACCTGTGGTACAGAGCCGGGTTTTAATTCACTCTTCCCTCATCCTTTTTTCTTACTTTTCCCTCTCCTACCTCTCTCTAAGAAATAAACAGCTGGAGAGGGGAGGGGTGGGGAAGGTTTTAACACCTGGGTGACCAGTTGATATGGTCAATGTCTTTTCTCTCTCTTTTCTTTCCTTTCTCCTTTTTAACTCGTGCAAACGAATTTTTATGAGGACTCAGATATGCGAATGAGTCACTCACTCACTAAGATGTAGACACTGGTAATTAGTCGTCCCAAACACGCTCAAGCACGAAACCACATTGGAGTAGTAACCGCGCATGACGTCAGGAGGGCTTTGTTACCTATTAAGCATCGTTGCTTCAGCTATAACCGTGCAAGTGAAAAAAATTTTATTGAGTTCAGGCACAAACCTACTACTGAGAATCGCTTCGCTTGTTTATCATCTGATGTCAAACATGAACTGTGATTAAATTCAATTATCTTATCTAAACTGAGCATTGGCGACTGAATCGATCGGAAGCGGACGAAAATAATCCTGTGCTTTTCTGACAAAAGAAAACTTGTGGAATTCACTGCCGCATATGTGCGGGAGTGAAGGCTGTAAACAAAGATTTTTTTTCGTTGCAAGAAAGGAAGCAGCAGGCTAAGGAGCATCGTAATCGGACTTTCTGGAAGAATGCAAAAAATTTAAACACAAAGAAAAAAAAGAGAAGAAAAACTGAAATTCTACTGAAAATACCTTTATTTATATCAGTTAAATCTTAAGAAATACATCAATCTTTTCACGTAAACTTACCCCTACAAAATTCAAAATTATATTCTGACAACTTTTCTAAAAAGATTTCACTTCGACAAATAAATTGTTCTTTACAGCTTACAACAAACTCATATGGTCATCACAAAGAGTCTTACCATACAACATGGCAATAACTCAATTAATTAACTCTTTGCACCCTAAGAGTTATCAACTTCAAAATTTTTCCTCACAAGGCTAGAAAGTATCATCACGTTATCACAAGCAAAGTCTATGAGAAACAATTAAATGATCACCAAAGAAATAATTACTCTACACTTTAACCAATAATGGCAGTCCCTCTCAAAATAAAGAAATATTGCTTAAGACAAAAAAAATATTGCATCCCATTTTCAATTACAACAAAATCCGAGGCAGTCTAATGTTTCCAACTTAACCTCGCGCGGATAATCTGTTGGTTTACACGCATGCGCGTTACAGATGAAGCATAGTTCCATTTAACAGCTTCATGCATCAAACGTGACAGAGTAAAGGCTGAATAGATAAGATTGTGATAAAGGGGAACGGTCTCCTGACTATAAACGTGCCAGCTTTTATGAAGACTCTAACAAAAGTAAATGATCTTAGCAAACAGATGCTACATAAGTCTTGTACTAAAACTGATATCGACAAATAGAAGCTAGTGTACATTTACCCTGTTCAAGGTCAGAGTCAATAATAGTTGCTTAATCCTGACGTAACTGCTTCTCAAAGTTGGTCCTAAGGCAAGGTATCCATGTTCTGAGAGGATTCCATTCAACCCAAGAGTATTCTCAGAGATGGATGACACTTCTGCGCGACAACTAGAGCATCTTTACCAGCATCACCAATTTTATTACAAAACAAATTCAACGTTGTCAGAGATGTATTCTCTCTCAAACACTTAGCCAGAGCAACAGCACCATCATCACCAATTCCATTACCATACAAATACAACGTTGTCAGCGATGTATTATCTTTCAAACACTCACCCAGAGCAACAGCACCAGCATTACCAATTACATTACCACAAAAATCCAACGTTGTCAGCGATTTATTATATTTCAAACACTCAGCAAGAGCAGCAACACCATCATCACCAATTCCATTACCATGCAAATACAACGTTGTCAGCGATGTATTATGTTTCAAACACTCAGCCAGAGCAGCGGCACCATCATCACCAATATTATTGAGTCTCAAATCTAACGTTGTCAGCGATGTATTATATTTCAAACACTCAGCCAGAGACTTAGCCCCATCTTTCGAAGAGTCAGTCAATGTAAACGTTGTCACAGTTGTATTTGTTTTAAGAAAGTTGCTTAAAAAGACAGCTAAAGTTTCATCTACTTTAACTCTTGAAATAGCAACAGTTTCAATTTGGAGATAAGCGCCAAGAGCAGAAGCCAATTTTTCATCAACAATTTTGTTCTCCTTTTTGCATTCATTAACACACTCCAATATAATAGTCACGTCTTCCTCTTCTTCCTGGTTTACCTGTGCTGCTATACTTTTCAGAAGGTTCACCACTGTTTCCTCGCATCGTGCTGCAATCATACCAAATGTAAACAGAAGCACTTCTTTCAGCTGATGGCGATATTTTCTGTTAGCAGCTATGCTGTTCGTGGTGATTTCTTTCTTGATAAGCTGACAACTGAGATAGAACGCTGCGAAGAATTCTTGGAAAGTCTTGTGAAGAAAGCCATAACGTCTAGTTGGTCTTAGCTTACTGCCTCCAGGCTGAACTGACAGAAATCCCAATCCAGGTAAATTGCTTGCTTCGTGTTTTCCGAGCTCCATCTCGTCAAAATCCAAGTTGTCTTCAAGTAAACCCTTCAAAGCTATCGAACCAAGGTGTTTCAATTGACTCTCGTAAAGGTCCACAAGGTCTTCGCCGTTTTCCGGTAGTTGTTGCTTTGTTCTGTACCTTCTCAATACACACTCAACTATTTCCATGTACAGCTTCGTTCTGCTTTCAGGAAAAACACCGTTCAAATCTTCATAGACCAGGCAAAGAAGCGCAGTGTTGAGAGGATTCGTCAATATTTCATATAAGTTGTCGTCATCATACAGGTGTTTGATAAGCTGCTCGGCCAATTTTGGTCTGGCTCTAAAGTAATTTCTGATGAAGGTTTCAACATCTTTTTCAGTAAATCCCTCGACCTCTAGCAGCGTGTCGCAGTACTTTCGAACTTTGACTCCAGCTTCGTGTCGTGCCGTAGCAATCACGCGACAGTTTGGCAGTACACGGCCTTGAATAATTTCTGAAAACATAGGTAGCTTCTTCTCAGAAACTTCATCCAGTCCATCGAGTATCAGAAGAACATTAGATTGATTATGGCGAATGAAGTCGAAGAATCTCTCTCGTTGGTCTTCACCAACTTCTCGAGGCAGAAGTTGATCTTCAATAGCCTCCCAAAGGTCAGACTGAACATCACGGCATTTGATCAAAAGCACTATTACAAAGTTTGTGAAGCAATTTCCAGTTGCGTGTTTTCTTGTGGTCCAGTCGAAAACAACTTTTTTACAGTAAGTTGTCTTTCCCGTACCAGGTATCCCTTCAATTAGCACTACTCTTGGTTCTTCACATTCTTGGTGCTGATTGAAGATTTCAGACATCGTGACAACTCGGTCTGTTGCTGTTCCTCTCGTTTTCTTTCTGTAGATGACTCTAAGTCTGGTGAAGATGTCGTCAAAGGAGAAGTGAAAGTCTTCACACCAGGGAAACGGTGCCAGCCAGCCTTCCCGATTTTTGTAGAGTTGACGAATGTTTTTAATAATTTCATTTGGGTCAAATCCATCTGAAAAAAAATTGGCTGTTAATTTTTGAGGCGTTCTTATCGACACACCATGTGACGCCATGACTCTCGGAATAATAAGCAACTACTGGATGATATTGAGCATGATATCGTGAATTATCAACACCTAGGTCTGAGTTATCTGCTGAAGCCGAAGGCTGAGGCAGATAACACTGACACGAAGTTTCGTAATTCATGATAACATGCAAAAACGGAATTCAATAATTGTTTTATTATACATTTTTAAAACAACTGCAAAATAAAACATTTCTCTCTGAGTGTGCAAAAGTTTGAGAACACTAGACGGTAGAGGGGCTTGGAAGCCAGGCAGACTCTTAACTCGACATGATCAACATCCGCTGTAGATAATATGTTATCATGTCAATTTCATACGCTTCTGTATATCAATTAAATGCTTTTGACCAGTCAGATTTCTCATAGTAAGTTTAATGTGTTATAAAACTGATCCATGTGAAAGATCTTTACTAAGTCTCTATAAACGGGCCTAAAACTTTCTCAGCCTACTTCCTTTCCCTGCGTCATGTTGCCAATCTTAACTATCTGCACGACGTTGGTCAGAAAATCAGCCTGGTAAGTGACATAATTCCCCAGCTTGCTTCTTTGGCTCAGTTGGTGAAATTGAAGTATATTCATTCCAGAAATTGAAAAGTTCGAGACTTGGATCCTCTACAATGCCGGTGACAATTATTTATTGCCATTCTGTCATAAATAAAGCCACAGGTGAGCTGCAATTTCAAAAATTGCAGGAAGAAAACCCTGAAAATGTTCAGGCTTCAAGGGGATTCGAACCCGTACTTTCCAGATGCTGCACTTCTAACAACTGAGCTAAGAAAACCACACGTTGGATGTGAGGCAAATTATGAAGGGTTCTTCTTTCCCATAGAAGGATCTGATTCAATTTGTAATGAAATAAAAATAATGCTGTAACCGATTCCAGCCCCAATATTTCAAATTATTCTACCCAAGCAGTAATGCTCTTAGGGTTTAGTGTAAATATACTAGCCTGTCTTTTTTTCAAGTCTTAAATGACTGTTAGATATGAATTAAACTATTGGATTTTTCGCTCTCAGTTCCACGCTTGATAGTTGACTCAAGCTTCGCCCTCAAAGACTAACTTGAGCCCGTCTTCCAACTGTTAGTTAGTTAGCGCAGTACGCACCTTGCTGCTTCGTTTCTCTTTGTTGTGCCACCAAATCGTCCAACCTGTGACTCATGTTTCCAACATCAATTTTGATTTGATCAAGGTAACTTTTGATGTCCCCTGAGGATGAACATTTCAATATTATTAGCGGTGCAGAAGCGTCAACTGATAGCCACTCCATTTAAAATAGATCGTGTATGAAAAACAATAAACTTTTCAAAAATAACTTAATGTCATTGCTAAGGAACGACATTAATTCCCAGATCTATTGTGTAGCATGTCAAATGGCTTTGGCAGAGGTTTCAGTAGCTATTTCCATAAGCGTGTGACGATGGTTTAAAAGGCAGCTGTAAGGCAAAACCCTAACTCGACAGCCTCGCAGGGTACACAGATGGCGATGAGAGGTCTCATTTCTTCGTTCTTCATTCAAATTTGTTTGTCTTTAATCTGTTTTGAAAACAGACAGCAACTCATTACTATACTGTCCATGATTTTTTGTGCGATGACATGCCAAGTTTTGTCAGTATATTTGGCTAGTTTATTAGTTACAGTTTGAGCCTCGTTAGTTACAAACTTTGGGTCAGTTATTTAAAAGAGGTCTAACCCAAACCGCAGTTTTACACAAACAGACCTTGATACTGTGTTTCCTCTTGTCGGGCCATCATTAAGCTCTCCAACTTGTCTTGTATGTTTCCAACTTCACTTCTCATCTGATCAATGTCATTTGTCATTTTTTCTAAAGTTGAAAGCACATATTTGTCTGAAAGAAGTCCAGTTTTTTTATTCCTTTTACTTTAATAGAAATAGCGGAAACAAGTTTTTATTCGTAGTTAGATTAAATGCGTATTTGAGACAACCAGACAACCAACATTAGAAAACCCAAAACTCCTCATTCATCAGAGGGGGGGGGGAGGGGGGGGAGGGGAGGTGCTACATTTTAATTTACCGTTAAAATGACCAAAGTGCACAAAGCAATATGCACCTTACTGCGCTATGAGAGTTGACAGGTTAGAAATTTTTAAAACACCTCTCAAACTTCACTCAATTTTAATAGGTTACTTTTAATTGTAAAAGTGACGCAAGAAGTGGCATTTAGAATTTACCCTGATCTTGCGCCTCATGTTGACGTGTCATTGAAGTGTCCAGCTTATCACGTAGGTTTCCAACTTCAGTTCTTATCCAGTCAAAGTCATTCGTCAGTTTATCTGAGGTGAAAAACATATTTTGAGGTTTCATAAGTTAGGGCTTTCCCTAAGAAATTGGGTAAAAATCCTCTTTGAAACGATTAAATGTCTTCTCAGGTACAAATAACGCCCAAAATTTTGTAATGGGCCCAGCTCACCATAGATTCTCTGTAGCTCACTGGTAGAGCAGCGGAGTGCGGAATCCGAAGGTCTGAGCTGTTTTTGAGAATCTGTGATTTAATCAAGCGATATATCCCTTATCGGATATTTTCCCTTAATCTTCAGCGCCTGTCTGCTTTACCATCGTATCGTGATTGATTTTATTTTTGCTTCTGATCTGATGAAGATTTGCGCGAGTATTCTTGGCCAATATGGGGTATAGCGACTGTAGATGGCCAGTGGGTAACTAGTAAAAAGTTGTAACTGAAACATAACTACACCAATCAAAACTTAAATGTCCAGGCCGATTTTGTCATTCCTCCCGACACCTTTTGCTTGATTAAGGTTACATTCTTCAGTACAAATTACACGTACCTTTAATTTCTTGGAGCTCTTCTTTGACATTGTCTTCATCTTCCTTCCACTGCTTCAACAGCTGCCTGTAGTGTTCTTCAGTATCAGGGTCCATGCACTCATTCTTAAGTTTACTGATAGCAGCTCCATAACCAGCTCCTACCAGTCCTATTATGGCATTACTAATGTCCTGCCAGTAGCTGTTAAATGCAGCATCGTCTACAGAGGCTTGGCTGGCATGGCCATGCACAGTATTTCGGTAGTATTTCAGCCTGGCGATGTTGGCCTGCTTACTCACATCTGCAGGAGGGGGAAGACTGTCCCATCCAGTGCTGGGAGGAGCCAACCTACAGATGTTCCTTAGTAACACCATCAGTAGTGTGATATCAAACCCTGCAGATGAAACAGATGATGGAATAGTTGGATACAGCTTCCCCCATTGCATAGGATTCAAGACTCTCTTGTTCTTTAGAGATTTTAGTATTGCATGCTCTGGGTGACGCCCCAAAACTATATGAAGTCCTCCTGCAGGGTGAATGGCATCAAAAGTGTCTCTCAAGGCTTGGGATCCAACATCCACCAGAAGGCGACAGAGTCGAGCATAGTTGGTTGTCTCCTTTGTAGAAGGAAATGCTGGTGTGGCAGCCGATGCCATGTGCTGTAGTAAAGATCAATTCATTTAAAGCCAGTAAAGATCAATTTTATAGCTAGGACAAGGCATGTTTACAATATCGAACTCCATATTGCCGGAAAAAGAGATAAATTAAACAATCATTTTAGAAAGTGGGAAAAGTTAATGAGCGTTTTTACGAATACGTGATGTCATGATTAATTTCCATCATTAGTTTTAAAGTGATGGCATTGTAATTTGCATACGAGGTAACTGTATAGCTGTAATAGCTTTGTGTGTGTGTTTAGCTTGGTATTCTTCTATTTGTACTATATGTGTGTGTGTTTTTCTTTTTTTTTTCTTTCTTAGTTTCAATTTTGTATGTAAACGTAAGAAATGCTTTAATAAAAAAAAAAAAAGAATAAATTAAAAAAGAGGTCAATTCATCCCAAGGTGAGATTTTTCATAGAGAAAATTTTTTAGGCAACCAGGGTGGAGGAATGAAGATGACAAGGTTTTTGCCCATAGCATGATGCAATCTCTCGTGAATTATAGAAAAATCAATGAAAAAAAGTACTTAATTTAGCACGCTGCAAGGGACTCTGGGAGTCCACTTTTCCGGGCACTAGCTTACAACTAAACTTCTGCGCAGCTTTGTTAAATCAATTTTTTTACTGAATTTTTTTACCATTCGTATAATGGCAGAGCCAAAAAGTACAAAGTACAATGGTTGTAGCCTAACTGGAGGGATTTTTTTTTAATGCAGGGAAGGCTATCAACCACTGATCTGCTGTGCTTAGAGCACTCAATCATTTAAATAATTCATTAAATTGTTTGCTATTATCGAAATGTTTTGGATACTATCACTGACTATCACTTGGGCTCCACTTCTGATCCTCTATCACCTGGAGAAGAGAGAACTAGGGAACTCAACTCTATTTCATTCTAAAATGTTAAACAATTAATGTTTATGTTAAATTATCAGAAAAAATCTGTGGGAACTTTGATTAATTTCTAATATTTATAAAAATCTCATGATAAGTGCATATGTTTGTGGTCTTGAATCAATCCAACTTGTTTACTACACATAAGAGTTACGTAGAATTGTGACTAATTAACAATTTCAATACTTTGTTTGTTTTTGAGTTAGCCATAAAAAATACCTTAGCCCCTCGTCAAAAAGAAATGGCCACCAAGACTAAAAAACATCCAATAGGGAAGCTGAATTGTAGTTCAAATTCTTTCTGTAATGATCAAATTAAAAGCAATAATTAATTTCATGAAGGGGGTAAGTTTGTGCTGCGTTTGGGGGGAGGGGGAATTTTATCACTTGTATAATATACATATATGTATATATAGAGGAAGTCTGCAAGTCGATTTTCGCGTGGAACAGTGCTCAATACGTTGAAGCAGAGCAGAATAAATATTATGAGAGGGAAAAAGGGACGCAACTACATTTCCCGACAAGCCGGAAACAGGCTTGTCGGGAAATGTAGTTGCGTCCCTTTTTCCCTCTCAATAATATATATATATATATATATATATATATATATATATATATATATATGTATATATATATATATGTAATAAATTAAACAAATTTCAATTGAAACTTAAAGTGTATATACTGAAGGGTATGTTAATTGGCACAGTATACGATTAACACGTGTAACATATCAATTCTCAAGATCTACAAATTCCTTTTGTAATTCACATCAGGACAAAGTAATTCTTCCCCCTGATTTTACAGGAAGTACTAGCATCATCTTTATAATAACTATTATAGTTTAATGGAGGCATATGTAATATTAGGTGTATCAAAGTAGTGCACTAAAAGGATTATTAGAGGCTTAATTTATACACCTCCAAAATTTCTTAAAGTTTACAGCCTAACATAATCTAGAAAAAACAGTCCCTTTCCTCCAGTCTAATTAATGGCTCAAAAAATGGCACAATTATTTAATAGATAACTGAATGAAAAAGAGAAAAATATATAAGCCCTTGCATTGCATATAGCTGAGAGCAAGATTATGATATATTAGGGTAATATGAACTGAGTTCATAACGTAAATTGGCCTCTGTAAAGAGTTTAAAAGCTGATGTTTTGAGTGTTAGCCCTTCGTCAGAGCAACTAGTTACTGGTACATTAGTCTCTTAAAACCATCACCCTCTTTCAGTTTATTACGTAAACTAAACTGAAAACAGAAAAGAGTGCCACAGTATATTTTTCAACTCTTGGCAAATCTCCTTAACTGCATGACATCATTTAATTGCCATCTCTATTAAAAACTGCAAATTTCACATTTAGTCTTCTTGAATCACTGGTCTTTGACATACTTGATTAGTGTGGGGGAATTAATTTGAGAATATCATCTGACTTGACATGTACGGGTTGGAGTAAATTCTGCTCGTCCAGGCAGCTGACTTATTATCAAGGGAGTGAATATCAGAATTGGACAATTTCTACCATTATATAATAATGTATAGTGCAGTCAGCTGCAGTTTACAGACAGGATTCTCCCTTAAAACACCACAAGTAACTTATATTTCTTCCTAGAATGAACAGATTAATAACTAATCAAGCCAAAAATATCCATGCGCTTGAGGTCATTGTTATATAATTAATCAATCATCTTCATTACAGAGGGGGTGAAAGGGGTTTTTGCATGATGCACAATTGAGTGTTTTCAACTTTTGTGACCTGCGAGAATAAAGAAGTAAAACCCCCATAAACTATAAATCTTTTGCCTTTTGCCATATGTGAACCTTAAAGTTGTTTACCCAATACTTCAATGTAGTATTTCAACTTTTTGATGTTCGTGTAACCTGCACAAGACCCCTTCACGCCATGTTCAAACATACAGTATCAAGCTTAAATAAGCCAACAATTGTTATCAACCTTAATATAACTATCAATCAGGATTTCATATACTTAATGAAAAGAGTTAACATCACTGATTATGGTCAAGAATTCTTAGCATATCTGTTCATTTTACAGACAGTATTTTCACCTCACTTGAAAACCCAGACATAACACTACACAAACAAAAACATTTCTGCTGTGCAGCTGCAGGTGTAATATTATAACAGCAGAACCCTTAACCCTTTACACCCTAACATTAGTGTTCATATTCTCCACACTGATCTCTCTACATTTCCTGAGGTAATGACAAGGAGAATTTGTTTGACAATCAGGAGCTTCTTAAGTTGGTGATTATTTCTATTATTCTCACAACCCTTACACTTGATTCAAGGGTGATACTTTAAGGAGAAATTAGAAGCCAATCACTCTTAGGGGTTTAAGGGTTAATAAACTGGTGAAAATCTTCCATCTGGCATTTAAATGCATATATTGATTATATGGTCACATTTTTGGGTGTTAGAGGATTGGACTCCAGTGTTAATATTAAGGGATGTATTAACAAGAACATGTTATTGAAGAAAATGTTGAGTTCAGTATGATGAATGGCTTCATATACAAATACATGCACATACAACAAGCAATTATACTGTAGGTAAATTATACTGCTCTCTAATGTATTTATTTTTTCAGATTAGTTTGAATGCCGTAAAGCTGTACAAATATTATATGCAATAACTGCAGCCTGCATGAAGAATAAGCTATGAAACTGACTTTCTCGGCCCTCCTCCCCACCCCTCACCCTCCCATACTTAATTCCCAGTCCAGACTCCATATTCCAAATTCCTTGTCTCACATTTCCAACTAAAAATCCGACTTATCGAAAAGCTAGAATATCATGACAGACGGTTCTATCCTTATACGTATTGCACATTTAAATCGTGCAAGAAAATCACGTTCACTATTAATAATGTAGGAAAGAAGACAAATTGGTTCCTAAAATAACTAAGCTTGAGGAATATTTCCCAAGTCTTCCCGTTTCACACCATTTCACTTTCGATTTCCGATTTCATCGATTCACGGAAACAAACCTGACTCTAACATGTTTGCGTTATACGTCAGACAAAAAACACTTCTCTCGAAATACAGATTTTACCCACGGTAAAAATTAGCTTTCACATACCAATGAGCTTGCTGAGTTTAAAGAACTGGGAAGCTGTCACAAGGATTATTGACGGGGTGCGTCTCTTTATGCGCGTTCGCAAATGTCCCCACATAATTATTTTACAATAGTTTGTTAGAAGCGTTTTTCATACCTTTAGCTTTGAGCTTCTCTCCTGATATAGACACAATCTGGCACTCGACGCTGGAAATCGATACGACCAACAGCTGTTGAAAAAAACTGATATGAATTTAACTCAATCAAATAGAACCGCTTGGTTTCGATTCTCGATCAAATACCTCAAGTTGAAGGTTAATTCTTCAAATCTTCTGTCTCGTACCCGTGTTTCTGGACCCCAAACTCATATTATACTTGTCAACAAGTATGTTGCTCTCTGCAAATTTTAAAGACGCTGCATTTAGTTCACGTCTGTCACTGTTGCTTTGCAAAGATTGGTGCTTCGAGAATTGGGACGTCGTCTGTCAGATCACGCGATCACCTACAATCATACGTCAATTACCTTATACCAAGGAGTCAAACCACTCATGCGGATGGCTGAGTTCTCCAGAACAATGAAATGGTTGTTTTGCTAATTCGTTTTTCGTGAAGTGTGCGGCTGTAACCAACTCAAGTTTGAAATGAATTAGAACCCCTTTTAATAGAACTTTAAGCCATTATATTTATAATTGTATATTAGTAGCTTGTAAATAATTACGCAATTCAGTATTTTACTGCGATGTGATTTAATAATAAACCAGTCTGTTATTATTATTATAAACTCAGTGGATTAAACTTACTTTCGCAATGACCTCGTAATTCAGTGTTTACTGTTGTATCCTCAAAGTCATGAAGTTTTAGATAAAAAAATAACAATTTTTACTGTTGTATCCTCGAAGTAATTAATTTTTGAATAAAAAAAAACAAGTTAACGTTACAGAGAACCTTATGATCAACCTGCCAACCACCATCTTGATGTTGGTTGAGATTGAGCGGCGAGTCTGTTCACGCGAACTTAATCTCCGGGAAATATTCCTCGTTCTACTTGTTCCAAATTTTAATCTATACTTATGTGCAATGCTTGAATTCTGTAGGATACATGCGCGTTTCAAAGGATAAAAAAGGAACAAAAAACAAGACCTTTGGACGCCGGTGAAAACATTCCATTTTAAAGGTGCAAGGTCTACCAATCGCAAGTGATAGAGCTTATGACAAACACGATGCCTAATTCGTGTCATTTAGTAATTCGTATCTGTCCTAATTGCTGAAAGAAGTCACCTCTCCCAGGTGCATGGAAAATTCTCAGTAAAAAGTCTGTTTGTTACCTTTGATCGCGTTGTGGAATTACATTCCTCGCGAGTTATTTGCGCAAATGATGCGAGTAATCAATCGTGTAAAATCTGTTCGAGGCAGATTTTCAGAATGCGAGAGACTGAACCCCAACGAAGGGGTTTACATAAAAAAGTTGCAGGATTTTAATACCAAACAATGAGATCACGAGTTGATTTTGCCGAATGCGGCCTGTGAAAAGAAAAAACTGGAAAATTCCCTTGATGTCATTTATAGCTCTGCCATTAAAATTACATAAAATACGAGAACACGCAAAGAACACTTATTTGCTGCAGAAATTATTGTGACACTTGACAGATAACTGCATGAACACTAGCCCCCGTTTGGTGCGAAAATGTGCGCGGATATTTGTCTATAGACATTATCTGTTCCAAAATGCTTCTGGCCCCAAAACTCATTTTCTACATATCAACAAATGAATTGCTCTTTACGAATTTTAAAGACGCTGCATATAGTTCACGTCCGTAAATCCAGTGTTGATTTGCAATGATGCGATGCTTCGAGAATTAGGGAGTCGTCTGTCAGATCACGCGATCACAGACAATCATACGTCAATTACCTTATACCAAAGAATCAAAATCACTCATCCGGATGACTGAGTCCAACAGCATAATGAAATGTCTAAATGTGTAAAATGCAAATACTACGACAAAGTTCCAAAACACTACAATCCCTGGGCTTTTCACTTCCAAGATCTCATTAGTAATATTCCTTACTGCCTGTTTTGAGTGATAAATAATCAATCGTGTAGAATATTTTCAGGGGAGATTTGTAAAATGCGAGAGACAGTGAACCCCACCGAAGAGGTTTACGTTAAAAAATTGTGGGCGTTTAATACCAAACAATGAGATCACGAGTTGATTTTGCCGAATGCGGCCTGTGAAAAGAAAAAACTGGGAAATTCCCTTGTTGCCATTTATAGCTCCGCCACTAAAATTACATCAGATACGAGAACACAGAAAGAACACTTATTTGCTGAAGAAATTATTGTAACACGTGACAGATAACTGTATGAACACTAGCCATCGTTTGGCGCGAAAATATGCGCGGATATTTGTTCGTAGACATTATCTGTTCCAAAATGCGAAGTTTTCAGAGAACGAAACTCGAGGAAAACTGTGAACTTCGAGGAACAAATAATGTTCAAGGATAAATTTAAGAGCATATTTTTTCGCCAAATAGAGGCTATCGGTGTTTATTACCCTTCAAATATTTGTAAAGCGCGGGAAACTAAATTGTTTACGATCAGCTACCATTTCCTGCGTGGGATGTTCAGTGTTCTTTAGAACGACTTTATCAACAAACAAACATGTCCATTCTTCTGTAACAACCACATAACGAGAAGATAGAAAAGAAGGGTTCTTGCCTTTTTTCGAAAAATCCATGAAGTCTCTTAAATATTTTTTACATTACTCACCTCCTCCCATATGTCGTAGCTTATTCCAATATCTCACTTCACAGGAGTTAGCTGAGAAAGAGAGATCATGGAGAATGTAAAAACTTCAAGAGACTTCTGAATTGTTTGAGAATGGGCCAGAACCCGGGTTTTCTATCTACTAAACGCGCTCTTATCTTGAATTGAATTTTAAACAAATACTTTTAGTCTCTCTAAAATAGTGGACGTTAGGTTTGAAGTAGAAATCATCATTCCAGTCAGGACATTGCGCCAGTTAGTAATATACTGCAGTGCGCAGACTTATCCATATTAGGTGTTACCTTCCAACAAAATTGTAAATACAGTAGTCACGTGCGCGCGAAGGTAATTAAGGCGAACAAGTCATTATTCGTATTAGGATCTTTACGTAAGGAAGGAATGTCCCAGGAGGAAGTAGATCACCTTTTTAACGCAATAGTTTTACCAAATTTTTCTTACGCTCTGCCGGTTTATGGTGCCTCAGATTCCGACCTTTCTGTAATACAGAATTTTTTAGATCGGTGTATGAAAAGAAAGTTTATGTCCAAGAATGTAAATATCAGGGATTTGCTAGAGAAGGCGGACAAGACACTCTACAAAAAAAGATCGAATGACCCCGAATGCCCGTTCTTCCAGTTTTTACCTAAGGAAAAGAACATGAGGTACAATCTTAGAAATACGTCAGTCTCTGTCCCTAGAATCTACACTGACAGGTTTAAGAACGTTTTTAGTAACAGAATAATTTTTAGATATGATATGTAAATAGTTTTTTGAGTTTATATTGTAACTTAGGATATGTGATTTTATCTTAAGAAATAAAGATTATTATTATTATTATTATTATTGTTGTTGTTGTTGTTATTATTATTATTATTATTATTATTATTATTATTATTATTATTATTATTATCATTATTATTGTTATTATTATTCCGGTAGACCATTAGATATTTCCCAGCTGGGGAATATTCAGTCACCTGATTCAGATTTAGACCATTCACGCTCAAGAAAAAATTTAAAATTTATTCTATGAGCGTACGTTAGATACGTACGAGATATTAGTTAGTCTTGGAAGCATGTAGCACCGAGTTGGCTCTAACCAATCTCGGGTCACACAAGCGCGGATGGAATGATTGTTTTCTTAAATTTTCCACTTTTCGTAAATGCTAAGGGAACTTGTTAACTTCGTTTATTCAGCTATTTTGCTCAACTGGTACCAAACAAGGAAATTGATCGAGGACATTTTTTGTAAATATATTTGTCCTGAACTCAAATTTTTGCTCCGGGTGTTCGAGTTACAAGTGAAAAATGTACTGAGACAGCTATAGGTTGAATCAGAAAACTTCAACCGCATGCTGGAGTGCTGAGCACATTTACAATTAATGTTAAAAATTTACTGTGACAACTCTCGGTTAAATCAGAAAACTTTAACCACATGCTGAAGCGCTGAGCACATTTAAAATTATTCTTCTGCGCGGTAGTGACGGGAAGGAACCAATATTGTGGCTACTGGAAGAGACTTGTGAGGTATGCTTTTATAACTAAAGGTCCTAGTAAAGCGTAGAAACTTTAACGCTGCAGAATTTGCAACTCATACTGAAATTTTGAAGGTAACCAGCTGTTTAACTATTGGGACAGCGTTGTACTTTTTTCTAGACCATAAAACGTTAATGTCAAGTGCAAAATATTTAAGTGAAACTTCAAAGATACGTACCATTAATGAACAAATAGAGAAGCCTCGACTGTGATCTGTTCTGTTGTAAAGCACCGAGGAAGCGGCTAGAACACGAAAGAAGTGTAGGGAGAAAGACGAGACTTAATGGAGTGTTTCTCCCCACTTCTTAAGTGCTTTGCAACAGAACAGAACACAGTCAAGGTATCTCCAGTTATTTTATAAAAAAGAATCCGTCAAATTCCCCACGCCTTACTTTCAATTTTCAACATCAACTTTATTTCCAAAGCGAACAACAGTGTCGTCAACATGCTCTATACTCTAATAACGCACGCTGCAATGAGCCTATCAGAATCCTTGTTGGAATGGTTCAAATAATCTCATTGGTTGAACAAGACTAAAGTTGTCAAATGTTGAGTAATCAATGTTACATTTGTCATCCAGTACCGAGGAAAAGTTTGAGATTTCTCTTAAAGCCACACAGTTATTTTCAAGAAAATTCAATTGACGGAAAGAGAGCAGATACACAAATTTCAAATCGGGGATTTCACTGTTTTCTCGCACTTGAAGTAATTCGTTGTTGGCCCAATCGCGAATCACCTTCTGGCAAAACAAGTATTTCCCAATCCCTGCTTTTCTAATGACAAGAATAGACTTAACATTCTCCTGATCATCAATCATGCCTAGAAATATTTCTCTGCGTCGCTTGACTGGAGTACCGCTGACTTTTTTGTAGTACTCAAGCTCTTTACTCCTTGAATAATATGTCTCGTCATCCCTGATCAGGGCTTTTCTTCCATGTTGTATGAGAATATAAGTGAATATTTCGTCTGTTTTCGCGTTGGAAATCGTTTGAGAAGCGAGCAGCTTGGGTTGGAACTCCGTTTGGCCTATAATGGAAGTCTGTAAAGCTGTACTGTACGCACTTACCGCTAAAGGATTAAAAATAAATGTACTTAATAAATGATATGAACACGAGGATAGGAGTTAAACTACTTACATTCTTACTCCACACTCTTCAACTCTTTCGAGGACAAGCCGATATTAACACACAAGCTTTTAAGAAAATAAAGATCTTCAGCTCTGATCTTAATACTTCGTATCAAAACAATCGCAACGATGAAATGCGTCGACAGTCACGCGCTGTTGTCAGATTTTTTTTTGTCAAATTTTAAATGTTTTGAATGAAACAGTGTAGCACCTATTTGTTGAAAGCAATGAAGAAAAGCCGTTCTTGTTGTTGCCTGTAATCAGTTGCGGGTTAAAAACGACTATATTTTGCCGTTAAATAAATATCGCTACATTCAATTCTCACCGAATTGGCGTGACATTGCAAACTCTAGAAAACATTTCACTAAAAGAATCGAAAATGGTTTTTCTATTCCGATAGATTATTTCCCCTACTGCCCTTAAAGAACCAATTTCGGAAACACCCTAGTTTGGGAAAGAAGGCGGCCGCGTGGGGAAATTTATCCGTGACTCAAATATTTCTCTCTCTTTCGCTTATTTAAATGCAACGCAATTTTCTAGGATTACGTATCTCCAAAACAAAACGGAGAAAGGATATCAGTGAAACAATGCTCTTTTCTCTTTTTCAGAGGATTAAGCCTGGCAATTTTCAATTCTGCATAGAAGCATAATAGAGTCTGTCGTATCGGTCACTGTTAAAACTGTCTTTGTTTGATGCTACTTTCGACATAGGAAAAGTATGGCGGACAAAAATATTCACCGAAAAATAAATATTTCTTTACCAGCTTCAATTATGACAGGGGATTAAGTTTGGGTGGTAAAACAAAGGATTATGTTGACAGAATTACCGGAGGTAAATTATATTCGTTACATGAGGTTACACAACTTGGGTAATAGTCACGGTGAAAATTTGCATATTTGAGCAGTCGAACGAAAAAATTCATTTCTCGAAAACTAAAATATATTTTCACAAAAAAACTACGCCACAATTATCAGGACATATTGGGATACAAAATATGAAAGTACGAGAGAAAACGAATTTTGGGCGACTTGCCACAATATTTCAAATTTGTTTGATGGATGCTGAGATCCTCTCTTAAATGTACTATCTATCAAAAAAATTGTGTTCGAAAAATGACAAAATCATATGGAACCACCAGAGTCTCTCAATAGTAGCTGATGGAATTGACAGATGGGACTGTGAAAACCCACTTAAATCATTGGAGAATTTTTCACTTAACCCTTTAACTCCCATGAGTGACCAAGACAGAATTTCTCCTTACAATATCAATACAATATCAACCAGATAGTGATGAGAATAAAGAAAAATATCAATTTGGGGATAATTAGTTGATCCAATACTAAATTCTCTGAACTAACATTATAAGAATTGTATGGTTGACAGTGAGGAGAATTACAAATTTGATCTGGGAGTTAAAGGGTTAGGCACTTTGATTGTCAAAATCTAATTAGTAAGTCTTCTAACTGTCTGCCATGCAATTCTTATGATGGACAATTCTTATGATTGAAGAATTTGGTATTGGATCGACTAATAATCTCCTAATTGATATTTTTCTTCACTCTCATCACTTGTTTGCTTGATGTTGTATTGATATTTGTTGGGAGATTTGCCCAGAATAATTTTCTCCTTTCTCTTGAGCTCTCATCCAATCAAATTAAAAACTTGAAATAATCAAAACTTGATGACTGGCATTTTCCAACACTAAATTTTACTTCATTTTACTGCGAGGTCCCATTGGCTCCCTGTGATATTTTCCTTTATTCTGATTGGCCATTATCATAACTCAAACAAAACATTTGAAAAAAAAATTAAAATAAATACTGAGATTGTACATGTACCTATCAGCTCCTGTCTTCTTGTTGTACACTCATTAACCATGTCTCCAGGGATGACACCTTCTACCACTTTGGACCTGTTAGTTAATAATTTAAATCAGCAATGGTTGTTTAACAAAGAAAGAGCCAATTATCATATTTCAGCTAAATTTTTTGGGAGATTTTTAGCTCAAGTTATGGCATCTTAATAATAGCTGGATAAGGGTTATTGAATTTCTAGCCTTGTGATTGGCTAAACAGCTAAATAAAAATAAAATAAAAGTCACAAGAATGAATAATCTTACCCATGATTTCCCTCAAAGTAATAAGCCTTCCAGCACACAAGGTCAATGACTCCTTTTACCTCAGATTCCAAACCAATTGGCAACTGGGTGAAGGCTGCAGTGTGTTGTAACTTTGCTCTGGGGAAATAATTTTTCACTTTTTCTAATAGGAAGTTCCTTTGATATACATTGTGGAATAAAAATCAGCAATAGAAACAACCAATTTTTTCACCTCCCCAAGTCATTTTCAAATATTAAAAATTAGCATATAAATGTAATAGTTTAAAAAAAATAAACAGATGAATATGTAACAAGCATCTTCTCAAATGTAGTGGATGATCTTTCCATTGTTCTTGTCAACTCTTGAAAATCTCAGTGTCAATCCAATCCATAGTCATAGGAATTCAATTGTGGCCTCACAGTTGACATGTTTAATGCTACACTGTTCAGGTCATTTTTTGCAAACATTTTGTTGTTTCTCATTTGTTATATCAATATAAATTTTTATGTTGTTCCTTCTCTAGGACCACATTCTCTCCCCATATCATCCATTCTGTAGACCTTATCATTTCAATCATTCTTGGGGGTTTTTTAAGAAAACCCAAGGGCTTCACTTGTTTTTCAAATTTTGGCCAGATATGATCTCCTCTCTGAAGGAATTTAGGTGTTGATGTAAAAATTTGTATTGATAATCAATTATCCAAAACTATTTTTAATAATAGCACAGTGCTTGGACTGTAGTCATTTTTCCAACACAAATTCAAATTAGAAATAAGTGCCATAAGGCATAAATGATCACACTACAATTGCACACTGAACAATTTTCAGAAACCTGATAACTCATCTGTAAAAAAGCTCAAAGAAGAAAAGGCACTTTTTTCCCATTCAAAATCTAAATACTACACTACCTTAAGATACTGACAGTGCTAAATAAATTACTTACAGCTTGCTGTCCTAAGTTAAAATTACAAAACTGTTTAACCTTTTTTTTTTTTAAATTTTTTCTTTACTTTTTTCAACATAGTAATGTAAGGTAATGTAGTATTGTTATTGTGCCACGATAAAAAAAAAAAACCCTTGAAAAATCAATAAGAAATTTACCCTTTCACTCTCATAATTTGGTTTTTCAGCATCACATAAGTCCAAGCTTCAAAAGCCCTCTCCCCCTAACTAGCAATCCCTCACACATTTGAACCTTTGAAGATGGACTCATTAAAATTCCCACCTCACTGCAGGTGTACATGTATGTTGCTGACAAGAGCTTTTACTTTTCACACACATAAACATCATAACTACATGTTCATCTGTTTTTGATGACAATTCAAACTGTAAATCCTTTATGATTACAGTAGGATACTCTGTAACAAAGCTGTGACAAGTTCAGAAAAGTACCTTCAGAAATGTATAAAGAACTGTAAGGAGAATATACATCCTGATGTTAGGGAATAAATGGTTGATAGACTCACCTGGTGTGTCAATAATGTTGATGTTTGTATCTTTCCAATTGACATACAGTATGTTACTGCAGACTAAAAAAACATACATATATACAGTTGTATCTTCTTGAAATATACAAAGAATATTATTTCATTATGCAGATAATATTGAAACACCAAAATTTCTGCTGTATCTAAGACATAGCATCTTCACTATGCCCTGTGAACATATTACAAAAGATGTAGCACTGTTTCTATGGTAACCATATATACAATCTCCAAATTGTATATTCCAAATATTTTTTTTTCTTGATTTACGATAACAAATCAAATGACCTTGAATTTAACTTTCTTGGGAGTTTTAAAAAGATTAAAAACAGATCTCTCTAGCCAGGCTCAAATTCAACTGTGGTTCATTACATATATATGAATATCTTACATTTGAAGTCACAATGATGAACACTATTTAAGCAGCAGTGAAACAGTGCCTGAAAAAAATTCACGCCTGTATATTTGAACCCATTACCCTGCAATATAAGTGTAGTGCTCTACCAACTAAGCTACAGGGCTGTAACAAGCCAACTGGGAGCTAGTCAATTTGTTGGTTTGTAATAAACCTGTGAGTGATGAATAAATGACTGTGAATATATGAATGTCATACATTTGAACTGTGGTTTATTTAATAAATCATAGTACTGTTACTTAATACCAACCTGTATGGTTATTCCTCGCTGTCGTTCCAGATCCATGGAATCCATAGTGGCTCCTACATTGTCCTTACCTCGTACCTGGTTAGAAAAAAAGGATGAATACCAAACAACCAAATCTAATGCATGGATATATCAACACATCTTTCTTGAGCAAAGAATTTGTTTCTCATCAATAAGGTATAAAAAACCCTGACATATATTGAATTAAACCTTTAACTCCCAAGATCTGATGGTTAATTCCCTCCTCTAGCTGCCACATATTTCCCTGTAACCTAGTTATGAGAATTTGGTGTTAGATCAAGACAACAACCTGTACCTGATAAGTTTGAGAATTCTCTTTTTCTCTTTGCTGAATGAGGTATGGATATTATAGAGAGAAGTTACATGTTAATCACTCCTGGGAGTTAAAAGGTCAATGCTTGTGAGCTACAATAAGATTATGTATCTTGTCTCTTCTCATTTGTTTGTCATAAGAAGTCTGATCATACTGGTGAGAGAGATTCCCTGAAGGACTGTTGTTGGTAGAAGTGACTCAAATATTTACCCCTTAAACATCATAACTACATGTTCATCTGTTTTTGATGACAATTCAAACTGTAAATCCTTTATGATTACAGTAGGATACTCTGTAACAAAGCTGTGACAAGTTCAGAAAAGTACCTTCAGAAATGTATAAAGAACTGTAAGGAGAATATACATCTTGATGTTAGGGAATAAATGGTTGATAGACTCACCTGGTGTATCAATAATGTTAATGTTTGTATCTTTCCAATCGACATATGTTGCTGCAGATTAAAACAACATACATATATACAGTTGTATCTTCTTGAAATATACAAAGAATATTATTTCATTATGCAGATCATATTAAAACACCAGAATTTCTACTGTATTTAAGACATAACATCTTCACTATGCCTTGTTAATGTTGCTATGGCAACCATGTATACAATCTCCAAACTGTATATTCCTGAGATTTTTGTTTCTCTATTTACTACAGCAAATTAAAGGACCTTGAATTCTATTTTCTTGGGAGTTCTAAAAAGATTGAAAAAGGATCTCTCTATCCAGGCTGAAATTCAAACATGGTTACATGTGTATGAAAATCATATATTTGAATTCACAATGATAAAGCAGCGGTGAAAACAACACCTGTAAAAAATTCAGGCCTATACATTTTAACCCATGACCTCTGGGATACCAGTGCAATGCTCTATCAACTGAGCTACAAGGCTATAACAAGCCAACTGGGAGTTGGTCATTTTGTTGGTTTGTAATAAATCCATTAGTGATCAATAAATGACTGTGATTATATACATTTGAACTGTGGTTTATTAAATTAATCATAGTACTGTTACTTAACACCAACCTGTATGGTTATTCCTCGCTGTCATTCCAGATCCATGGAATCCATAGTGGCTCCTACATTGTCCTTACCTCGTACCTGGTTAGAAAATAAGGATGAATACCAAACAACCAAATCTAATGCATGGATATATCAATGCATTTTCTTGAGCAAAGAATTTGTTTCTTGTCAAAAAGGTATTAAAAAACCCTGAGATTTACTGTATTAATGCTTTGGAGCTACAGTGAGATTATGTATCTTGTATCTTCACATTTTTTTGTCATAAGAAGTCTGATCATACTGGTGAGAGTGGTTCCCTGAAGGAATGTTGTTGGTAGAAGTGACTCAAGTTTTAACAATACCAATGTGTTACAGTATAATCTAACAAACAGAAAGAATGCTATACTCCTTTAGACTTCACTACTTTATTAAACAACTTTTATTATTTTTGATGCAGAGCAAGTCCAACAGGAAATACAGTAATTATCCTCAATAAACTTACTTAAGCCCACAACATTCTATGTCTTGCCTCACCACTGACACAAACTCACAGTTTTCTCCAAAGTTCCTTGAATTAAACAATCTTCACGGTAGCCCTCTCACTCTGTGTATAGCTTTCCAAGCAGTCATTCACTTCTGACAACAACAACTACTACTACACAACTGAGTCCTTATAGACATTTACAAAGTATTCTAGAACATTCCAGAAACTTACAACACAACTGTCTCAGTGGACTGGTATTACATCATGACTGCATGACCTAATGAAATGTTCTGTTATGTTCCATGGAATGCTTCTCAGCATGACAAAACATTCTTACCAGAAAATGTCTAGATACTTATTTCTACAGTCACTATCCATAACAAGTGGAAGTCATAATCATTTGACACAGGTGGTGACGTCCACCAAGGTTGTCAAATCATCAGTCACTACTGCCAACAACAGTCCTTTCCAGGCCTACTCTAACCCAGACAATCAGACAACACAATCAAATATTATTACTGCAAGTTGTCAAACCTTTGCTACTTAGAAATAATTGATTGCAGAAGCTGTGGTTTAAACTGTACATCAACTTGATATTAACAAAGTCTTTGTTTCAGAGATATTATCAGAACTCTCTTCAACCTATGGAAGTTTGACACCTCTTGAACTTTTAGTAAATTTCAATCCACAACACATGTTGAGACAGGGCAAAAATCACTATTTGTATAATCACTCAAAACCCATGGGAAATTGGCTTTGAACTGTTTCAATATGTATCAAAATCCATTAGTGAAAAAATTTTTTTTTGGTCTTGTCAGAATTCCTATCAACCTACAGAAGTTTGATATCACTTAAACTTCAAGTAAATTTTGATCCATAACACACACTTAGGAAAAAAACTGCAGTAAAGATTTCAACAGGAAACCACAGGGCAAAAATCATTATTTGTATAATCATGCAAAACCCATGGAAATTAAACTTTGAACTGTTAAAACAAACATCAAAGTCAATTAGTGAAAGATTTTTTTTTCCTCTAGTCATGAGCATGGCACTAAAAAAAAATTTAGAATCCTTGTGAGGAATAGAATCTCAGACCTTCAGATTCACCACTTTGATGATCTACTACTGAGTCACAGAGACTTTGCTGTGAGCTCAATTGTTACAAGGTCCACATGTGAGATGCATCCTGCAAAGTAGGATTGGTAATGTTGAAAGCATTTCTAAAGGCAAATCAAAGTCCATTGTTCTCACCTCATGCATTTGACTGATTCTTCCAGTATAAAACAAAAGTCTCTCTGTGAGTGTGGTTTTTCCAGAGTCAATATGGGCAGATATACCAATATTTCTGATTTTTGACACATCCTTCTGTCAAAAAAAGGAGACAATGTTACATGTATGCCCAATGTACACAGCCATGCCCAATTCACAAATTGAAAGTGGTTTAGCATGGTCTGTAATCTTATCAACAATGATATTCATTATCACAGAGGTCAAAATTTGCTACAGACTCATGTGGCCCAGCCAGGTGAATCAGCAAAAACATTTGAGCAATGTGATGATGAACATCATTGTATAGAGACCCTGTCAATTCCTTTTTTACCACAATAATGATGTCAAACAAAATGATTCTTTCAGTGATAAAGGCATTGCATGACCAGTTGATGCAAGCAGCGCTGCTCATGCTCTTATCAACAACAGCAAATTGGCCAATCAAATTGCAACATTACTGCTCATCCTACAAAAGAAATGTTTCGAAAATACGCATGGCATCCAGTAATAAAAAATTCCCCAATTTCAAGGGCCTGTATTCATGAATGAACACTAAGGAAACAAATTTAAGTTTTTGCTAATTAATGTTAGTAGTAGCTAGAAATAGGGTAAATTAACAGGAGAATATCATTAATTGGGAATAAAAGATAAGGCTGTGTTTAAATGCTAGGTAGCCAAATATTTTCACAGAATTTCTACTGAAAGATTATTCTTTAGAGTATCAAATATTAGTTTAGAAATATTAATTAAGTAATTCCAAAAATTATTTTGGCTTTTTACTATAGAGCACAAATTATCAGAGCAGATGTATACTATAAAATTGCAAGGTTTTCAACAACTCTGAAACATTTCTCACCTAGCGATTTCATAGGATCTAAGTAAATGCTTAGAAAATTTGTTCTCTAAAACACCACAATAATTTTTGGAGTAGCTTGGCATTCCTAAACAATCAGTAGGTTTGCAAGAGAAATTTTGGGGAAAATCAACATTACTTTACTTTAGTAATAAGAACTTGGTGTTTGATCAAGATACCAGATAAGTTTGAGTATTCTCATTAACTGTTTGTTGCATAATGCATGGATATTATAGGGAGAAGGGACATGTTAATCACTTTTGGGAGTCAGAGGGTTAATGAACAGCCTGTGAAGTTATCACTGACTGTTGAACTCAAAGGAACATTTTCACCAACAGTTTTGAAAGACTGTTCCTTGTAATACAATAAATAAAATATATACATTTTTAACCCCGGTGAAAATGTAGTCAAAAACTGCCGATCTCCTTGAGAAAGTTGAGCACTCACCGTCGCTTCAGAGGCAAAAAACCGAGCCTTCACCTACGAAATAAAAGCAATCGTTCGTAAGATTCAGGATTAATTACTAACCAAAGGATACAAATACGAGCAACTTGTACTCACTAATATCATATTGAACTCAATCTGGATTCATTATTTCCCATATTAATCAAAATACGAAAATAATCAGTTTAAAATCATATTACTGTTTTGATTTTTGATTCTCTCGTTCTATAACTTCTATAACTTTCTGATTTTAACAAATCACAACCGATACGATAGTCCTAACTGTTTGAGAAAGATGTACGATTATGTAAGCTTTTCACTTCTTCGTGATTGAGGATTCTCGTTTAGTAAAAATTAACAAAAACTTAAATTACGGTCTAAACATCAAGGTTGCAAATCTTACATTACGAGAAAGAAGACGAAGTCCAGATCACTGGATCAACAGTGTCGCTAAACCCATTATTCGAGCTAAAACATCATAGTCCGTATATCTCAGGAAATCTTTCAAAGTAATTTCTACCAGGCGCACGTGAAAGGAGTTTGCGCATGACCAGATAATGACTACTGCTGTTGACCAGTTTTGTGGAAAAAAAAGGAAGCCGGCTCCGAACACATACCACGTGCCATATCAAAATGTACATTTTAAAATTTTTACTAGAAACTTCAATTTATATTTATTAGCGTTCCCAAGAGTAACCCTCCCTTCATTGGCTTCATGATACGACTTCTATGATACGACTTTTAAGATACGACTTTACGCGCCGCCATTTTTAAAAACAGCTGAGTAACCAGGCCCAATACCCGCATAGTGCGCGGTTCTATTTGGTTATTGTAAAAAACAGAAAACCATAATTTGAATCAAGAATAGTTTTACTTGTGACTCCGTCTCCTACGTGTAAATACAGATCACCAAAAGATAGATCAAAGTGACACTATGATGAACTCGCGGGTATACCGCACAGAATACATGGTACCGGATTTAACTAAAAGCCAATGACCCTGAAATTTCAAGAAATATAATTGAACAGTTATTCCCACAAGAGTCGCAACAAATTCATCAGCCATATTCAATTTAATAAATCGACACTCTTGGTCTGTACTCTTGTCTACAACGATATTCATCATCACAGTGGTCAAAATCTTGTGGATTTAGTTGGCTGCACCTCGTGAGTTCGCAAAAAAGTTTGAGCAAAGTGATCACAAGATCTAACAAATATCGTTGTCGATTAGAGGACTGACCACGCCAAACTACTTTCGACATATTTGTTACCATAATATTGACGTTGAATAAAACGATTCTTCCAGTGCGTGACTAGAGTTCGTGACTGTGCTCTTATCGACAACGGCATTCCTGCAAGTTGCGGTAAAATTTATTATATGACCCGTCCGGCCCTGCGTGCATAATCGTAAAGCCGAAAAACCATGGAGAAAGCCGACGTGAAAAAGCAAAATAGCATAACAAACTAAAGGCACATTAATACCACACATAGTTCTAACCCTTATAGGCTTAGTCTTGAATGTAAATTTCAAAGTCTAGTGTCTGACAGAGAAACAATTCCAGTATTGGATATCAGAGCCCCAACTCAGGGACCCTATAATGGTTAAAAATCGGTGGTGGCGTCAGATCCACTTGTCTGACACCCAAATTCTTGAAACAACAGGATCACATATCACCATCCAATATGGAGCAACTAACAATTACCGTTCCAGATATAGGTCTTGGCTTACTGTGGTTTCAGAAAAAACACAAAATTTCTGTGTTTTCTGAACAAAAGTTGTGACCCCCTTCTACATAAAAATCCTGGATCCACCCTTCAAAATCGTCTTTACTTGTCAACATTTAATAACAGTAGTTCAAATAGTTGTAAATAAGTTCACTGTTTATCGTTACCATTCACATGTTCACTATTATTACATTTATTATTTCACTATTAAGTATTACACTCATCAAAACATGTAGGACTCACCTCGAGAAGGCAATTCATTGGCACCTAAATTAAATAATAAACAAAAAGAAGTGTTGTCTCTTTAAACCAATTTACTTAAGAAGTTTACTTACAATCTGATTCATTCGTCTCAACTAATATTATGTCAGGTTCCAAAAATGGGTAAAAAACAACAACAACAACAACAGAAAAAAAAAACTGTAAATACATGTATATGTGCTGGCAGTTATCACTTCCCTGTGCATTCAATTAAGTATCAACATCAAAATACAGTCGCACATGCAGTACTGGATAATTCTCTGTTCTTAGTTTAAAACAATTTGATGTGTTGCTTAATTTGCCCAGGAACATATATCAAATCACTTCAAATCACTAAATGGCAGATGTCATTAGCCTCCAAATTTTCCATTTTCTGGTTGTGTTACATAAACCAAGCTAACTATAGAAAACAGGCATGTTCACCTGGCTCATGAAGTGAATTGTCATTCATCAGCATCACTTGATTTAACCACAAGTTTTTTCTGCCACCACCTTAAGAGGCCTTGTTAAACTTACTAATACATAAACTTAAAATAAGGGTAACTTATTTCTCTATTTGTAAATTGTTACTGAATAAATGATCTTGATTTGTAATCCATACAAGAATATGCTATGGGAACTTAGATCTAAGTCAGACCTATCCTTGTAAAAAGACAAGATTGAGACAGGAAGCAATACCTGCATTAAAGTGAGGCCAATCTTGGAATATGACTGGATCATTCAAAATGTTGGCCACAACAGATGCTGCCATCACACAGGCAATTTGTTTCCATTTCTTACTTGAAGACTGTGTTTCATCTACAAAGTCTTTGATGCCCTTGACTACCACCCATTCTGTCTTAAAATCATGGGCTGCAGCATACACTCCTGAAAAAAAAAACACTCATGTCTGTTAACTATATTGCTAATTTTGGTAGAATCCTTAAAATAATTGTTCGATGAAAGCTTAAAAAGATTCACACTCTAGCTGTTTGTAAAAATGCACATCCCAGAAAGACATTAGTTAGTAACAAAATCTAATTTTTTTCAACCAGTACTTTAAAAAAAATTGTACACCTTGTTTCATAAGTAACTTTCAACATTTCTCAAAAGACAAACTTTTGTCAGCTAGAGTCAACCCTTTCACTCCTAAGATCTCTTTGGTAATTCTCTTTAGTGTCTGTCATACAATTCCTATGATGTTACAGGTGGCGTAGATGGGAGAATTTGGTTTTGGATCACCCAATAATTTCCTAATTGACATTTTCTTTTTCTTTTCCCATTACTTACAGTAATATAGTTGTATCTACTTGATATCATATTGATACTGTAAGGAGAAATTCTGTCTTGGTCACTCATGGGAGTTTCAGGGTTAACAGGGACTGATAGTTATTCCTCAACTCTCAAACTATTCAACAAAATACTTTCTACATTTTTCAGATGACAAATTTAAGACAATTCATGACATCCTGATGGAGCACATTCAATTTAGAAGACAGCAGAAGTCTCAGTCACCTCCACCTGCTAAACAATCTTCAACCCCAGTCAAACACAAAATTACTATTATTATGCAAGATATAATTTCCACAAATTTCGCATGCTATAATTATGGTATATGCTATTTCTTGGACCAGCAGAGACAATACCAGGGCAGTCTTTTTCAAAACTCTTGCTTCAAATGCTAAAGTCCTTGGCTCATCAATTATTTGAATTATTATGATTCTCACCTCCACCTTCCATTTCAACTGCAATTGCTTCAGGATGTTTCCTAATCATATCTCTGTTTGCCTCCAAGATACTCAGAACCACTCCATCACAGTGCACTTTGGCATTATATTCATCAGCATTTTGTAAAGGTGCCTTCCACCCATCAGCCACATGTTTGATCAGCTTACCAATATCTCTACTAGGGGGAGTTTTGTGTGCAGCTGTTATCAGCTTTGCTGAAACAACCACATCTCCTAACTTGACCTTTTTGCTGTTCAAACCACTGCAGGCACCAACAGAAAAAATAGCCTTGGGTCTCAGTAGCAAGATGGCATCTTTTGAAACAGACAAAGAACCCCCAGGAACACCAGGACCTTTGCAGCACCTCATCAATGCAATTTTCATTTTCTTTCCTTGATCATCACCCATGCACCCAAAGTACACAGGGCCAGTACTGATGTGAGAACTCTTAAAGGGTTCCCTCAGGTAGGCAAAGCAACTTAAGAACTCACAGTCCTCCACTATTAATAAAAGAATATCAACAGGAAGTTCAACATTGTTCCAAGTAAAAGAGGTTTCAGGAAGATCACTCATCAATGGAAGTGTAACATTGAGCTCTGGTGGGCTTGCATTCTGTGCTGATGTAGTTAATCCCTTGGCATCATTGCTGTCTCTAAAAAAGAAGAATGTAGTATTTCTTTTTTTTTTGTTTGTTTCCATTCATTTATTAGAAGTTATTAGCAGATCCGAAACAAAAATCAAATGGCAATGAAGAAAAAGAAAAGAAAACTTGTTATGAATAACAATTAGGTCAAAGCATCCATGACCCTGCATAAAACATTTCAAGTCCACACTAACTGATTAAACAGTACAAAATTACACACTGTCAGACATACTTGAAGAAAAAAAAACACCTCTGAGTGCTACCCTTTTTTCTCTGAGTTTGCATGGTTGTGTCATTCACTGAGTTACATCTTTCAATTAAATAATCAGGCTTTAAATCTATCACCTTCAGCACAGAATTATATTTTGACGACATGTATGAGTTTTTTTGTAAACTTTGTTCATAACATCAAGAAAAAAAACACAAAACTTTACTTACATATACAGTATACCAATTTCCACACAGAAATTTTGGAGGTAATTTCTTTTATTTCATGACCCACTATATATCTAACATTAATCACACAAAAGAGACAAATATTAAGTTAAAACTTAAAATTAACAAAAGTAAATCACACAAACCTTCCTTTCCTAAATTTTGTTCATATGTCTCAATGGAACCCTCCAGGTCATCTTCCTTCCTGGCCTTTTTTACCATTTCATCTTCATGTGATTTATCTGTGACACAGTCTTCATCCTTCAACCACTCTCTGAAAAGCTCCTGGTAGTCTTTCTCAATATCAGCATCCATGCAATCAGTTTTAAGATCATTGATAACATCCTGATAGTGGGCCCCTCCAATACGCTGAAAGGTGTCTTTGATGTCATTCCAGTAGAACTGAAAGTTGGATCATCAACTGAACCACTGGTAACATGACTGTAAACTCTGTCTCTGAGGATCTTGATGCGAGAGATGTCAGCTGCTGGAGTGGTGTCTGTTACCAAAGGAAGGTCATCTTGGCCAGAGGCAGGGAGAGTTAGACCAAAGATATTCCTCAGAAGTAATAGCAGCAGGGAGCTGTCAAAGTTCCCTGAGGAAATTGACCATTTGACAGCAGGATACAATTTGCGCCACTGGGAGGTACACAGGACTCTCTTCTTTCGAAGTGTTTGTAATTTGGCACAGTTTGTGGGATTTGTCAGAACTGTGTGAAGTTTTTCTGGTGGACATACCCTGTCAAAGATCTCCTTTAACA